AACGCTGAACTGATGCGGTGAAGCTACCAGTAGCAGAAGCTAATAAATACTTAAGAGAAGAAGCAGAGCTGCCATCGATACAGTTGCAGCCAGGCATGATTTAATGTTACACAATACAGTTTTAGGAAGTTACTCAAAGTCTAACTGGTATTATTGTGATTGTAAGGTGTAAAGTTTACCTTCGACCAAACGCCCCCCCCAAAGGAATCCCAGCGCCCCCCTTTTGTAAAAATTTCCACCAGCTTCCCGTCTTGTCCCCTTTCCTTTGCCCAGCCCCACTTGTTTTTAATTCCTTTCTCAAGTAAACGTGTTTCTTTACCGGGTGAGACAAACTCCATCTTCTTTCATATCGCATTTGATTTAACCGCCGAACCGAGCGCATGCGCTTCTTTTCTACAAACCGTTTTACAGTCATTGGTCAAGAACACGGGAGCTAGAATTCTGACTGGCAGACATCTTTGTCTATTATCTACAGTTTAGTTGAGGCGGGCCGTTTGGTCCAATGCTCGCTTTGCCTGAAAAGCCGGAAATCTCTTTAAGCTCTGTACATGAGGATAGCGGTGTAAAAACAATTGCCCTTAAACAATTTCTATGTTGGAATTTTCAGTTGTTTCATACTAAATAGGTAAGTGACTTTTAGATATTTGGAAGGATACAAAAACAATGACTTGACAGCCGGATTTTCAGATAAACTGAAGCTTAAAGGTGAAAATTTTAATAGACAGTTTTTACTGTACCTAAAAACATATTGTCAATCTGGTTGTCAATCTGCAAGACTATATTTTATTCATAAAAAATACAATGTTTTACAGGACCTTTTACATGAACCTTCCAGGAAGTTGAGCCTTTTTACTCTATTGAGCTATTAGCAAATGACATAATACCTTTATTTTTATAAATTAGCATTGGGCAACATTTCTTTTTAATATTGCTAAGCATTCCCCTCAAAAAATGAATAAATTTAACACAGATCTTTAATGTTTCATAACTATACATATAACAGGTATGTATATTTTGAGGGCGTTCTAACATACTTTTAACATTAACTTCTTAGATTAACAGCACACTTTTAAGTTTCTGTTTGACTAAACAATAAGATCAATGCTTTATGTAGCTGTGCCTTGGTAAATGCAGCAAACAAGCTCAAGCATCACCATAGCAGAGGGATTGTTTACGTCTATGAATCGTAATCACTGGAGTCCCTCTACTAAACGCAGGGCACTGCTGCAGAAAAATCAACTGCTGTAAAGCAGAAATGGCAGGTAAATAACATTTAACAGCAAGTATGCTTGCAACACAAAACAAGTTTAATGTTTGAAGGCTCATATTTGCAGCATATTTCAATGGTAATATTCAAAGTCTCATATATTTTAAGACCGTTTTGGATCCCAATAAAGTCACAGGTATGAAAGGAAGATCATTTTGATGTGAGGTTTTACCTCTCCAGAGCATCTTCTCCACCTCTTCTTCTGCGGGAACGCTCGGCACCAGGTTTGTCATACTCATCAAAGTCAAAGTCTGCAACAGAGAAACAGTTTCTAAATATACTACCAATTGCAGTTCTGCAGTAAAACATATCATCTTTAATACCAGTTTAGATATTTAATTGTTTTTGGATAACAATAGTATTTTCTCATTTAATAATTCAAGTGAGCTACTTTAGTATCAAGGAACAAAAAGGGACAAGATTTTATGTGAAAGCTTCAATGAATAAATTAACAAATCAGCAACAGCTCATAAAACGCTTCATCTGCAAACAATCTTGCATAGACATAAAATTACTAGCAATGAATTAAAACAAAATACAGTTACATGATTATTGTCAAGCACTGCAACTTAAGATATTGTCTATTAATACTCAATATCTAATAATAGTAGAGTTCAGCAACTCCAATCTTTGTCAACACTAACACTGATAATATTATCCTGATAACGGAAACTTCAAGAAACAATCTAACTTTTGATGTTAACTTAACATTTACGAACATGGCCATAATAACTGAACCGCTGGAGGCACAAGGCATAACGAAGAGCTACAAAGTTGAGGGCCAGATATTAGAAATCCAAAGCAAGATTGGCCATTCTTTCTTCACAGCAACTGGTCCAGGAGGATTTTTGTGCTATGTGATGAAATTTCTACCCTGTGAATAACATTTACAAGTGCAGAAGTGTTCTTAGCTAATGTGTTTTTAGCTACTTAATACCAAACTTTAATTAGCTTACACTTCTGTGTATGAGCACCCTTGAAGCAGCTTTTAATATATGCCCTAAAGACATTTAGAAAAGAGAGGAAAGAGAAATGAGTGGAAACTTAAAAAAAAATAGGTTAATGAGATGGAGACAAGTTTCACCACAGTACTTCAGCATGTATCCTAAATGTACTTTAAGTTTAACTTTTTAGATTAGTTCAAGACTTTATTTAATTCTCTGTCTGAATCATGAAAAGTTGCTCACTGATGTTGATGGAGAATACTTTTTAGGTTCAACCATGACATTTTTAAAAACTGCAACTATGGCAAGCAGTCATATGCAGGTTGACTTAGCATTGGTACATCTGAGTATTGCAGACATACCAACGCTATAGCAAACACATACCAATTTACTGAGAACAAAACTTGACAACATTTTTTTTTTTTATTCTAGGTGTGGAACTTAGAGCACATACATTTTTCAATTTGTAACATAAAAATCTAAAAAATTAGAAAACAACAGCACAAAAAAGAGGTCAGAATACTGCCAGTAGCATAACTGTGCATCTGGGATCACTTAAAAATAATAAAAACAAAATGTTTCAAAGCTACAAACCTCAATGAATAAGAAGAATGCAGACTCTGTTACGTCAGACTTTAGCCTTATTTAAAAACTCAAAACTAAAATGTAGAATGGGAACACCAACAACTGGGTGCACCCTTAATACATGCATAAAGATTTTCCAGGTTTATAAATATATTCAGAATCTGAATGCATATACTTTGACCCTAACCCTTGTCAAACGGCGGTTTGACTAAAGAAGTTTTAAAGGTTTGAGTCCTTGTCAAATGGCGGTTTGACTAAAGTCCAACAGAAGGAAAGGCTTGTAGAGCCTCTTATTTTCAAGGAGACCCCATAAGGGCAAGTCCTCATGTGGATAATGTTTTTATTTTTCATTTTATTGATTTATTTTTTTTTATCTCTTTATCTTTAATTTCTTTTTATTTCTCTTTCTCACTGTTTCTTTTTCTTAAAATCTCTCTCTTTCTCATTGTTTATTCAATGTCACATGCTGTTTTTATTTTAATCATGTAAAGCACTTTGAAATGCCTTGCTGCTAAAATGTGCTATACAAATAAAATTTGATTGATTGATTGATTTAGATGTTGCTTCAACACTTCCACATGACATTATTTCCTAATGCAATCTATTTTAGGGTGCACCAGTTCCTCCTGAAGCAACCCCATACTTCGCAGATGGATTGGTGTTCTTAGGCTTACAAGCATCCGATTTTATCCTACAAGTGTAACATGGTCCTTACAACCAAACAGTTCCACTTTGGAATAATCAGCAATTTATTTTGGACATGTCTCTTAAATAAAGGTGTTTGTCCCTGTGCTCATTCGCAAACTGAAATCTGACATTTTATGCTTCTTTCCTAAAATTTAAAAAAAAAGAAAGCAGTCTGTTCCAGGTGTTAAAATACAGCCACAGGTCGGCCTCCAATTAACTCAGCTGTGTCAGTTAACTTGGCAGAATTTTCCAAAATCATGGAAAATTTATTTAAAGAGACATTAATCATTCTGTATATAAACTTCTGATTTTGAAGACATTAATAAGGTGTATTCTCGCTGTCATTATTGCGCATTTACTAAAAAGATAAAAAAAAAATGTATTCTTTTACACTGTACTACACCATTACCCTAAAATACAGATACTTACCAAAACAACCCTCAATCAAACAGTAATGAGATGGAAATAGTAATGGAAACAACACTGCGCATTCCTTGTAATAAAGTCAAATTTTACCACTCAGTAAGTTTTTTTTTTTTTGCCCTTAAGGTTTTTAAATATCAAGCTTAATACATAATTTAACTAATTCATTCATTTATTTAAAAATGGTGTATAATCTGTATACAATTATTAATGCATCTATATGTGCACAGTAATGTTATTTTGGGTGAGCTAAGAACTACACTGGTTTTAAATCTAACGTGCTTTGAGGCTTCTAATGCCCCCAATAATCTAAACCAAGTAAACACAACAAGCCTCGAGTAAAAACACTCCGTAAATTGTCTCACAGATGGATGGTACCCTCTTGGACACGTTTTTAGTTCAACTTTACATACAAAATATAACATTGATTAAAAAGGTCTCAGCATGTTACATGTTCCATTGCACGTCAAATCAATGGTTGTAAACTAACATTGTGAAAGTAAAGCTAGCTGTCGTACGATATTAAAAGCGGGCTACACATTAAAGGAAAACAGGCCAAATACATAACACCAAATAAATAACAGTAATATAAATGTAAAACCACTAAACATCACGTTACTTTGGGGTTATATCAGCCATTCTAAAGTTGACAGATTTTTCTTGCAAGTTGTGCACCAATTTAGATGCTAGCTTGCGTGCTAGCTGGCATGTAATTGTTTCGTTCTTATAGCCTCAACGTGATTGAAGTAGTTTATTAAATTGATTATTATCACGTTTACAAAATTAGCTGTGCTATGTTGTTATTAGCGTTGTTAACATTTTTGATGTTTTACATTCCGTCGCTGGTCTACAACACGGCCTACAACCTTGGCTGCAGCCTCCTTAAAAGCTGCCATTAGCATTAGCTAGCCATGTTAGCTTACAGCTAACTTAGCATTTTTAGGTCAAGAAAAAAAAAATACTCACCCTGAGCGTCGGCTGCCATTGTGCAAAGCCCAACCGCTTAATGTTTACAGAAGCAGTGGGTGCATTTAATACTCAGAACGTCAACATTATGATAGCTAACAAACGGAGTAGTGTGGAATAGCGTCTATACAGTAGCAGTCTCTCCCCACGACGACGGTACAAACATGGCAGAGACAGGTTTGCGGCAATGATGCATTGGGGGGTGGAGAGACAAGCAGGTCCTTCGATCTTTTTTGCTGCATAGACCCACTGGATGCACTTCTAACGGTAACAAGAACACGTTGCACTATTGCATTAGGACGGATGCACAATTTATTTTTAATTCACTACTATTAAAGCCCATATGTGTGAACTGCTTAGAATGATCAAGAAACTCAGAGGCGTTGCAATGATATGAAGATATTGGGTGCTTAAGCCACCCTATGTGTTTGTTTATTTATTTCAATGAATATTTTCAATATTTTTCAGAAGAATTCATACTTCTTGAGCTTATCAAGACTTATAATGCTTACTGGGATATTATGTGATTGGTCAAAACAGTGAATTGAAGGGAGATGACACAAGGTTTTCAACATTTTCTACCAATAGAAGTCCGAAACGTGTGGTGTGATAGAAATGTAACACCTCTCACAGAACCAGGGGAAAGATAAAGTCTGGTCCGGCCAGCTCACAATTTGAAAAAGTTGCATCAGTGTGCCCATCGTTCTTTCCTACTGAAACATCTGAGTTTCCCTAAATAATTTGTACAAGTTTTGTAAACATGTAGTGTCTTTTGGGGTTACCATGTTTTATGATGCTATCTATATACTGAGGGACAAGAACACACTTGGAGAAGCTGAAAGAAGAGCAGGATCTGTCTGCAGAATAGTACACTATTTATCTATAAAATATAAGATGTATGCGCATGAATAATACATAGAAAAAATGATGGTTTTATTAAGCTATGCAGTCTCACTGCTGTGAACACAAACAACATATAAATATAGACTGTGGGAGAACCACAGTGCTGGTTCTGTTGGACCTCAGTGCAGCTTTCGACACTGTTGACCA